AGAATCAGAAATAGTAGGAAAATGTAGAAAATTTTTACAAAGTTAGAATCACAATGAGCACGGCTATCGACTGGTTTAATTTTCAGATCATTTCGACCACCGTCGATTCTACAGAAATTAGGGGCTATTTACCGTACTCCTGATGGACGTTAGTGGTCGCTGGTGGACACTGACACAAACTCTGAACGCAGCCTTATACTTTTCCTGATCCGATAGTTCATTAGTTCTAGAGCCTGAGCAACAGAGTAATCTTTTGTTAAGGTACGTGTATCCTCAGCCTGAAGATGACATCATTCTGTGCGGAATCATCGTTGTTGATGGTAAGAAAGAAGAGCGGAAAGTTAGCGTAAAACGTAAGGTTAGTCATCCACAGGAACATTCAAAGGATGATTCACAGTGATCAGTGATCTACACGGGTGAAATCAAGTCCACCATTGTGCTTTCTTCATTGGTGCCCAAAATTTTCGCCTGATGAGGAAGACTGAGAAGGCTAAGACTGCGTTCATACTTTGCGGCAGCGTCCACCAGCGTGCACCAGCGACCAGATGTCGAGCTAGCTAAAGGCAGCGTCCACCACCGACCATGTGCAACCGCACCGTACTACTACGCAGTACGGTACTGTGTCCTATGCCACAGTTTTACGACGCCTAATCCAGATATCTCCCCCTCCTACTTCCCCATATTCTACCAGCAGTATGCTGCCCTCCTACTTCTCATACTCACTCTTGCTCGCTGGTGGACGCTGGGAGACGCTGCCGTTCGCCAGATCGATATCTATACTTTCCTAGTCGCTGACGCTCGAAACGCTGATGGTCGGTGGTGGATGCAGCCGCCTTGTATGAACGCAGCCTAATGACTTACCTACGCGCTTTTAGCTCGATCGCGCTAAAGTTGGGGAAGACATCGCAAGTTTGCAGGTAAGTTGTGGGAGGAGGTATTGGGCGAGGGAACCGGGTGATCGTATTTACACCGACCTAGTCCCATGTTGCATCGTGGACTAAAACGTGATTGATGTGGTTTTCTGAAATCCTGAGATATCTGAAGTGTCCGTCGAAAACATTTCCTGTTTCAGCTGGCTGGTGACGAGAGTGATCCGACAGCAGCAGCCAATCTGCCAAAGGGCGCCTTCGTTCGTGGAGTTGCCGGCATCGCATAAATTTTCAAGAGTTTTCGATTCAAAGACGTTCTCTCGAAAATTATGTTTACTTATGAAAATTTATGAAAGTTCAAGCACTTTTCGTGTTGTGTTTATCCCAAGAGTGAAGGAAACAAACAAATATAAACAATCATTTGAACTTCAATACGATAGCCAATGATTTCGAGTTCGAAACTTAGGTGTAGAAGAAGACATTTGAAAGAAAGGCTGTAGTTGGATACGGATCTTGCGAAATTTCGATCTACCAGTTACCAACATCTTCAGTCGCCCGAGACATATCTTTTTAAATATAAGTGATGTGACTTGGGTGTTCAGGTCGGCCAGTCACGAAGGCCTGTCACCTGCGTTTGTATGTCCGCGATTAGCTCAGCTCGCAGAAGCGAGTAGTTCCCAGTGGCACCACGTAAGAGGAGGCGGACTTGCACTCACCAATCGTCCGGGCTCGAGACGTACCATGAAATATTAACCAGCTTGGTGCTCACAATAACACCTTTCCTTTTCCTCACTTGTCTGTGGCAAGTGGGGAAAAGGAAAGGCAAACTGTTATTGCTGAATAATTCTCCGAGACCGTGTAGGATTACATGAGTTAACGCGAATACGTGGCGTTTAGCTTGTAGTCAGGCATGCACCTATGCTGCATGCTTACTAGAGGGTGAGTCTGGCAAATGTGCTGTCGCAACTTCCACTGCCTCACTTTCAACCTCAAATGGGTAATGCTGGCCTTTGATTGAAAAGTGATGGTAGTATTCCACCTCCCATTCGATCTCAGAGGGCTTCCCAAGGCTGCGTTTATGCTTTGCGACAGTGTACACCACCGGCGGACCGGCGCAGTTTTGTCCAACGGGGGGCATTCGTTTCTCATAGGTTTGTGGGCCGACCCAGATAAGCCCTTTCAAGTTGACATGTCTTAGGTATGGTTGGCTGACGCATCTTAACCCAGCTTCACAGGCCGTTCACCAAGTATTTTACCACATGGTGAAGAATTTGTAACCGGAACTAGGGAAGCAATGTAATACAAAATGCCCCAGTTCATGCTTTGCGGCAGCGTACACCAGCGACCAATAGCGTCTACCAGCATTCAGCGTCCGGCAGCGTCAGCTACTAGGAACATACACATAGGTACAGGTCTAGCGTCTGCCAGCGTCTACCAGTGTCCACCAGCGACCATCAGCGTCTCGAGGGCTGGTGAAGTATATGTATCGATCCAGCAGCGCCCGGGGTGGAGAGCATGACGCGATAGGGGGTAGCAGACTGCTGGTCGCTAGTGGACGCTGGTAGAGGCTGGTAGACGCTGGCGGACGCTAGATCGATATCTATACTTTCCTAATCGCTGACGCTGCCGACGCTCGGAACGCTGTGGATGCTATTGGTCGCTGGTAGACGCTGCCGCAAAGCATGAACGCAGCCTATTCGCCAAGCCTTCGAATAGTCGAGTAGATGGGGGTTTCCAAGAATGAGACGCTCCTGCTCGTTGTCTGCCGCAACACCCTGTCTTCTACTCACTGAATGTCTTGTACTCACTGAAGAATTCTAAAACACTGTTGTTTTGTGGCCCAGAAATAGGAAAAAAAGAAAATACACAAAAACAATACAATTAATACAGAACAACAGAAAGTCGAACGAGGTCCGCGAGTCCAAACCACACCTGAAACTTGGGCCTCCGCTGTACATCCAACCCTCAGTAATCTACATATATTGCACTGCATTTGAATATTTGCTTTATCATAGGGTTCTATTGCTGAGCCGTCTTAATGGATGTCAATGCAGCAAGGTGGCGCTTGAATACGATGGGTGCATAATTGTAGTGCTGAAACATTAGATTTTGAATAAATTGCTTTTGTAAAAGTACGAAAACGTTTTATTCAATCAAGATGCCACTGCTGTGCTGTTTCACTCTACTTCCTATACAATCGTGTGAAGCCTTTTCGCCTACTCCAAAAATGTCTCTATCT